TGCGCAGGATTCTCAGCGAATACAGCACTTAAGAAGAAGGGTCTAATCCTAAATTTTGGGGTTACGAAGCTGCCTGCAGTTGAGCACTCAGGGGAATTACTTGAAGCTGAGCTTTAGGCCTATAAATGCCGAAGCTGGTAAGTGACCGAGCGCGTAGCATGATGTGGAGGGATGTGCCTCCTGCTTCGGAGACGGAGAAGGAGAAAAGGCTTTTGTGGTTATTCTTAGGCACGGCACCGCACACTTGGATTTTCTCAGCTCTGCTCTTCCTTTCCTTGGGCTTTTGAGCTCTCTGCTGTTCTATTTTCCTGCCTCTGACTTTATCCAGGCATCTCTAACAAAAAAAAAAAATAGAATGGTTGTTTTTGTTGGCGGATGTAAAGCCTGTTAGAGAGAAAGACAAAAGGACACGTGTAGCCACGTCTCCTAAAGCGAACAGCAAAATCTCTGTGTCTGCTGCAGGGCTCGTAGCTCTGGAGCGAGCTAGTGAGTGAGGCGATACGCGTGGAGCTCTGTGTGCATGCGTTTGCCTGCACTACCGGCCAAAAATAATTGCAGCTCGGGCTTAATCAGATATAAGAGATTTCCTGCTTTTTTGGCCTGAAGGTTTCCTAGAGATTTCAGTTTGCAGCTGAGCTACTCCCAGGCATAAAACTGAATTGTAAAAGTTTAACATCTCTCTAAATGGGTTTATGCAGCTCATGTACGAGTCACGTACGGTTTTGTTTGTGGTAGCTTTAACTGGATACCGTGCTAATATTTCTTCAGCACTTTTATTGGGACCTGGCTAGCAGGCTTTGCATAACTTGTGTTTTATAAGGACTGCTGCCGTAAGCCTGAAGCATTTCCAAGCCTAGTCCTGCCCAAGCTAGCTACTGACTTCTGCGTACCCTAGTAAACATCTGCACTTTGTGGGGACACATGTGCGGGAAGGGCTGGTGAGGAGCACACGCAGCCGCGCTCCATCCGGCACCCGAGGAGGGATGAGGCGTCGGAGCTACGGGACGGGGCATGCGCCCTGGGGCCGTGCGGGCGGCCACACAGTGTCTCTGGGAGCAAAGGGGTTGAAAAGGCGGTGAGGAATTGGGAGCAGCCTTGCAGAGGACTCCTTGAGTAGCAGTGCGCGTGCGTGTTGCACATTTGCGCCTGGGTGTAAGGCTTTCCCCTGTGCTCTTACCTACGAGGCGATGAAACGCGTGGCACTCAGAGGTGCAGTTACGAAACATACTCCAGGCGTAGGGGACAGCAGGGCTGGCACGGGGGCGTCCTTCTCTCAGGGATTTGGGAATGTCTTCCGAGGTTTATGGCCACGTGTGCTGGTGGCAAAGAGCTGTGCGGTGAGGCCGGGCCTGGCCCCTCTCCACACTTTTCCAGCCACGTGTTACGTGCCGTCCCCTCCACGCAGCCCCCGGTCCTCCCAGATGCTGTTAATTTATCTGCCGTCCCGCGCAGGCGGCGTGCGCCCGTGTGGCGCAGCGCGGGGCTGGCCGGCCTTCCGCGCCGGGAGAGCAGCGCAGCTGCGCCGGGGCCGCGCGCGCTCCAAGCGGAGCTGGGAAACGCGGCCTCCGCCCCGGCAGCGCCGCCAAATTGGCCCCCGAGGCCGCGGCTGCGGAGCGGCCGCTATCGCTTTAAAGCGAGGGGGGTTTTGTGTCTTGGCCTGGCCGATTTGTTATGGTTTGGGACCGTGGAGCCAGCTGTCTGCAGGCTGATGTAATGTTGCCCTGGAAACCAGAAATGAAACACTTAGGCATTCGCCACAGAATTACTACATGCAGCATTGGCCAAAATAATTAAAAGTTGAGCCATATGGGCTTTTGGATGGAAAAAAAAAATGGGAGCGTGGAGGATGGAAATTGAGTTGTTCCTATTTACAGTACTGCAAATCCGCTTGTTTTCCCCTCGGACTGCACAGAGAGGCCTGCGCGAAAGGTCCCTGTGGTCCTCCCAGGCCATGGGGCGCGAGGGCTGCCCCGAAGCTCCGTGCGGCACGCAGCATAGCTGCGAGAGCCGTCCGGGAAAGCGGCTGCCTAGACCACAGGAATTCTGGAGGTGAGGGTGACTTTCCCACCCGAAATCAAGAAGAGCAGCAGCGGTCTCTGTGATCTCAAAAGCAGGGGAGGAAAAGCGGGTTGGATAAGTAGAAAGGTTTTGGTTTGATTGTTTCCAAATATGTCACTTCAGCCTGAATGTTTGGCTTTTCTTTTTTTTTTTAATATGAGCTGTGAAAGAAAAGTTGCTTGGGCTGAAAAATTACGCTCAGCACGTCAAATGGGAATATATAGATAATTTCTTTTTTATTTTTTCCGCAATTGTTTCAAAACAGGAAGTTGATGGAAAGGCAGGCTTTTCATTTTGAAGGCATCGGCACTGCTTGACAAGGAAGTTCCTGGCCAGCACCTCTGGCATAGCGACAGAAGGGTTTCGGTCTTTTTGTATCAGGTTATTAACCACCCTTTTCCTTTACAAACGACTCTCGGTGGCACATGCTGCCCAGTGTGATAGGAAGTAGACTGCAAGTGAGACTCTGGTTTTGTTTTCAGTCAAACACGTTCGCAGTGGCGCCTGTTGCTAAATACGAGCCGCTCTCAGGTCTTTGAGCCGAGCATCAGAGCGAGGACATGTCTGTCGCCGCGTGGAAGGAGCCTTCCCTGGCTCCTGGGAACAAAGGATGCAGAGAGTCCCGAAACCGCAGGAAATACCAGCAAACTCTTTTTATGATGTTACTATATTTATTTTAAAGTGCGGTAGGGCCCCGATGTATCAACCACTCAGATTTGGCGTCAGTATCCCATACGGAAACATATGTTGATGCTCACTTTCACTGTGTTAATAATGAATGCAAATGTCAGGCATCTTAAAATGTTTTTTTAATATATATATATTTTTTTCTTATGTGGAAGCTTCGTACAAGTCAAAGATGAGAAAAAGTTTTTACTGGATATCAATGGGCCAAATTAAGACAGGTTATTTTGTGTCTCAGCATTCCTATTCTTCAGTGAAATCCTAGGATGGAGGATTGGTTTTGAACTGTTCTCTAAATCTAACAGTGTCAGCATTAGATGTGTAATCACAGTGTTATAAGCAATTAGGTTTTAAGTCCTGCAAGCCAAGGGTGTATGAAAAATAATGAAGGAAAGAAATGACATAAAGCTATTGCATTTAAAATAAACATATTTTGAGTGCAGAGTTTGCATGATGGTTGCTTGCCAGAGTTGCTTAATGGTCTATAAAGACTTGCCTGAACTTCTTAATTACAGGCAATATTCTGTTCTTCACGTTATCTAAAGATGCCTGATGAGGTATGTCTTGTTGCTTGACCTGTCACCAAGTTCTCCCAGCCATAATCTCTGAATTAATGCTCATCCTGCAGCTTAATCTATCTTGATATTAACAAATCTCGTAATCCTCTCTACTGCCTTCATTGTCCTGAAGGAAGACTGTTAATTGCCTATCCAGTTTGTACCCATAATAAATGCATTCCTGTGGGTTTTGGATGTCAGAATGGCAGTTCCGGCTGCCACATGTGGTCCGCTTGGTATTCCTGCTTGTTTTGGAATACCGTGAAGTTTGTGGGAGATCAGTAGTTGAGAGTGTCCTTGCAGGCAGTGGCTGGCGCTTGCTGCGGCGCTGTAAAGCGTGTTCCCGTGCAGTGAGTTTTCAGAGCGGTGCTGATTCCTCCCAGTGCTGTTGGCGCCTTTGAGAACGTAGCTGTGCGTATGCGAGGGTCCTGTCCCATCGCAGGCACTGCTGCTCCGCATCCCGAGCATATCTGGAAAGCAGAAAAACGGTTTTATGCTTGCACCTGTCTTTTATTCGCTCTCTGGTAAAGCAAAGACAGCATTTTTCATAAGGAAGGGACTTGTTTTTATTTTATTTCATTATTGCCTCGCTGGATGCGAAGAACGGTGTGAATGGGCCAGGTGCCGAGCAAGGTCGGAGCGTGCAGCGCTGCAGCCGGAGCCCGTGCGGGAATGTGCGGGGCCGGGACGTCCGCGAGGAGCCCGAGCCTCCTGCCCCCCTCCCCAGCACTGCGTCCTCCCGCCGCGCTCGTTGCAGGACAGGAAGTAGCACGTCGGAGGTTGGCTCGGGAAAGGGCAGTCGTCTTCTCCTGTGCACAAGGAATGGATTGTTTCAGCCTGTTGTGTCACCGCGGCTGGAGAGGGAGGGTTTTTTTCGTTCTCTGTAATGTTTGATACTTGAGGGAAAACAGCTGGAACTGAGCGTACTGGATCAGATGCAAAATGAAACGGGATGCTGGGGAATATGGACTGTACTGTATATCTGCAAAGGTCAGAGTTTTCCCTTGGTCAGAGTTGGAGGAATGCTGTGTCCATCTCGCATCCAGCCTCGAGAGCCTGCAGCAGGAACGTAAGGAGCAGGGAGGAGGAGAGGAGTGTTTTGTAGCTGTGGCAGTTTCTCAGCGAGGCAGATGAGGTCTCCTCCTTCCATTTCCTTCCCGTCCCTTTCTTGTGCTGCTGGTTTTGATTTTCTGGGAAGACCAGGGGGGCGGAAAAAAAGAGAAATCGTCAATGACAGAGTTTCAGTTTGGAGAAGCTGTTTATAATGAGGTTGAAGCAGCAAGTTCTGAGATGCCAGACAGACCAGTGACTGACCCAAACCACAGGAGCAAAACTGGTACTGCAAGAAGAGCCCTGGGGAAGAGCCCTGCCTGAAACGCACGGACAGAGGATGTGGAAGTAGTTATTACACAATGCATGGGAAGAAAGACAAGGGCAGGAATGAATTTCAGTGCCTAGGATCTTACATTGCACAGATTTAGAACTCAAAATGGTATGTTACGCTTTCGGAAAAAGAAAAAAAAAATGAAAGAAAGAAAACTCTCAGTAGTTTAAATATTTCTCTCTGACCTGGGCTGAAAATGTAACACCAGTTACAGAGCTGCGTTGTCACAGAGCGGCAGATGAGCTGGGTTACCTTGCCTTGAAGGAGCAAGCCATGGAGCGACTGCTTTATTAATATTCCCTTTGTTTCTTTGCCAGTCAAGAGAACAATCCGATGATGAAACAGAGGAGTCGGTGAAGTTTAAGAGATTGCACAAGCTGGTAAATTCTACTCGCAGAGTTCGGAAGAAACTCATAAGAGTGGAAGAAATGAAAAAACCCACCACAGAAGGTAAAGTTCCTGTGATTGAAACTGAACGTATGAATGTATTTCTCTGTTGAGAGGGGACAGAGTGTGGATGGGAGAGGAGGAGCAGGCTGTGCTTACAGTGAGCAGTGAAAGAGATTGCCTTTTTTATGGTGCATGCATTACCCAAGTAATTACTATTTGAGACTGTAGAAGGAGGAAAGTGACAGTTTGGGATGTGGTTACTGCTGATCTCCTGGGATTCCCACGGCCCTTCATTAAGAGATTAGGGCTTGGTTTATGTTTCGTGCCCTGCGTTGTGTGCTGCTCTGGAGGGAACGCGTTGGAGCAATTCCAGCCCGCTGCCCCACGGGCGTCATGGGGAGGTGAGCACAGCAGCCACAGCGCCCTTCCCTCCTCTGAGGCCTGGCATGCTCTGCTGTAGGAACGTTGCACAGGTGAAGCTCTTAAAATTTGGGGAGGGGAGCATCTGGCTAGTAGCGCAGCTGCTCTACATGGCATCATCCTGTGGCAGAAGTGCAGAAACTCTGCTAGATGTTCTTATGGGACGCTCACTGTTTCATGCAGTGCTAACTCCTACTCCTGGGGGAGTTTGCCTCTTGAATGAGCCATGCTGCCATGAGACAGGGGGAGAGACAGAGAAAGAGAGAAGGGAAAAGGGGAGAGTGGAGAGAGGGGGACAGAGCTCACCTCCTGGGGATGCCACGCTGCAGAAGGAGCTCTAGATCACCTGTGTCCATATGTGAGCACTGAGGTTAACCAAGCCTGAGTCTCAGTCCCCTCTCTGCAAGTCCTGCCTGAGTCCTCCCTGCAGAGCAGTGGACGCCCCCATAGATTAGCAGCCTTCCCAGGATCATGTGCTGCGATTCCTTTCACTTTGGAGTGAACTGGGCCGCCTTTGTTCCATGCTAGCATACTGCAGGAGAGCTCACGCATCTTCTTTGGCATGTGGCAGGATGCTGTCAGTAAATACATTTAGCCTGCCCCTCTCTTGTACGATGGTCATGCTACTGGCCAGAGTGAAAGGCTCAGGCAGTCTAGGGCTCTGGCCAGAGCAGCCAGCTTGGTCTTGAGAAGATTTGGTTATCCCCTCAAAGAGTATTTAAAATTAGAGCTGAATATAAAGCTGAGTTACCTCAGCAGCAAAAACACAGCCTGTGAGAAGGGGCAAAATAGAACCATATTTTCCTGCTCCAGAGCTGCTTTTCCTTGCCTGGCCCATGGGGCTGGGTGTGGAGAGCTGCAGGGTGCCATCAGCCACCGTGGTGGGAGCAGCTGCAGAAGCGGCCCGCACGGGGCCTCTGGATGTGGGACAGCTTCCTACAGTTTCTCCAAGCTTGCTCCTCATCATGGTAACTGACTGTTTTGCTGCAGTTCCTTCTCTCACAGCTTTCCACCCTTGTTTCAAATTCTGCTTCATCTCCTTATTTCCTTTTCTCCCTCACTCTTTTCCTTAAACTCCCAGTTCCTTCCAGATTTTTTTCCACTGAGCTGAGCCACCCATGCCCCTCATTTGGAGAAAAATCACCAAATTCACTATTGTCACCAAGAAAAATGGTTAAACATATCTATAACTCTGTGTTTGTTTGTACTACCATGCTGGTGTCCCTTTGTAGATTGGCTCTTGGGAAATGGTGTAACAAAAAGAATTACTGCTAAATAACAACATGAATTACTTCTACATAACTCCTACATAAGCAAAAGAACCTCTTAAGCAGGCAAAACGACTAGATACATACAAGTTTTTTTTTTCTCAGTAAGATTCTCCTAGGCCCCTTTTTTCTTACATGACAAATAAAAAGTCAAAATGTTGTACATCCCCATGTCTCATAGTGTAGGTCTAAATTCCCCTTTCTGTACATCAGAGGACTCTGCAAGGTCACAAAACGTACTCCAGACAGATTTGGAGATTGCCATCTGCCTTTCCGCACTACCTGCACTTTACTGGATTAGGTTATTGAGATCTTTCCTGCTGTTACTTTAATCAGTATAGAAGTGTGAACTCTTGTGAAATTCTAGATCATTGTAAAATTTGATCGATAAATCTGGATGTTCTGGTGGACAGTAGTATGTGCTAGTATCTGAATACATGAGTGTTTTATGTTAATCTTCTCTTAATTGAATTCCTGAATCTTCCTAATGTTGGGGCACTTTTTATGTAGTATTTAAAAACAAATCACATCTACATCTGTGTCATGATGGGTTTGTGTCATGGATGGATTCCAAATAACATCTGTTGCAGTGTTGACACACAATGCATATTTTACAAGCTGTTTAAAAACATATTTACTCAGGGGACTAAAGCAGTTTATCAATACGGATTCAGCCCCAGAAGAAAGTCTATTTTCTTTCAAGTCCAAAATTAAAAGAGAAAAAATCAGGTTGTACTACTTCAGTGAACATGGAGTTAAAATCAGACTCCAATAGACCCTCAAGAGTGAAAGTGATGTGTGAGATGTCATCTGCTCTCCCATCACTGCCACAGCTAGTTTCATCTTGGAAAAACAGTGTCTTAGGTTGCAGCAAATATGTGTCAAATATGTTTTGCCAAGAGAGTGAAGATGAGAGTGGAAGCCTGTATGAGGCAACTGATCTTTCATCTCAAAAAGATCTTACTGGCTAAACTAGTTTAGGAAATCATAAATATTTTGGAGTTGGATCAAATTTAGCTCTTCTGCAACATTGTTGAATATTCAACGAATCGAAGATGAAGGCAAAGTCAACCCCTACTAAATGGAAGTTTGTTTTTAAAAGGAAGTTTGTGTGACCTGCATTGAGTTCTGTGAAAGGAACAAAATTCAGTTGCATTTCTCTATGCGTTTCTGATATATATGTCTATGAATGCCGTGAAGTATGTCAGGTAGGACTGAGATGGATGTGCATTCTTGTTTGACTCTTTTCCTTACTTCTGCATCCAAAACCTGAGCCTAACTTTCAAGAGAAAATACTGGGGGAAAAAAAATTAAATGATAAATGTGAAAATGAATTACTGTTTTTCCTTCACACCATCCCCAAAAAGAGTCCTGGTCCTTTGCCCGTATTCAGTACTTCTGTTTCAGAAAGTCTTCTTTCCTTCTCTAATACATAGTTGGTGAAAACCATGTGTTTCTGTCATTAGCAGGACACTGCTGAAATTGGCACACCCACAATTTGACCTACATTTTTTTTTCTTTGCATGTATTTAAGTAAATTCTGTGTAGATAAAATTGATGCCTCTTTTTCCATCAAAAGCCCGACTCTTTTCATTTCATCCTTGAGTTCAGCTGTATTCTTTTCTGGGACAAATACTGCTTTCTACAGCAATGCTGGGTGCTATGGCCTGTGATTAACTTGTCCCAGAATTCTCACTTCGCAAATGGAAGGAACTGGTTCAAATTTATCCACCCATAAATACCTTCTGGACTTCTTATATCGAGAGGAGACTGCCTTCCCCTCTAAATAGATGCTTTGTGCTGTTTTTGTCCCCTGTAGGTGTGGAAGAGCACTCGCTGGACAATTCTGCCATCCTGGATGACAGATCGGCACTTTACTCGGGAGTTCACAAGAAGCAATTCTACTTGGATGGCTCCTGCGAGAAGCAGACAGAGGATGACTTGGACTCGCTCACGACTTCTCCCTCCTCCAGCAGTCTCGATACTTGGGGAGCTAACCGGAAGCTGGTGAAGACCTTCAGCAAAACTGATAGCCGTGGCCTTATCAAGCCCCCCAAGAAACTCGGGACTTTTTTCTCTTACCCAGAAGAGGAGAAGACCCAGAAAGTTTGCCGCTCCTTGACAGATGGGGAGATGAAGAAGAGCCTCGGCTCCCTGAGCCATGGGGTAAGTACAGAAAGCATTTGCTTTTATGACAGCAACAGGCACAAGCACCATCTTCTGGTGTCCCTGGAGGAGATTCAGAGTGTAAGGAAGCAGATCCGATTGAAGAAAATGGATACTAACTATTCCTGTTCCAGAGCTTTTCTTTGTCAGCGCCCTGCTAGGAAAGGAGCAGCCCCCACAACTTGCGACCTGCAATTGCTGCGGCACAAAGCGAAAGGGGGTGGAGGTTGTGGCTTCCCAAACAGAAGGCTACGAGGGCGCACTTCTGTCAGCGAGTTCAATATCACCTATGTGGTGGAGAGAAGCCTGTACAGTCACCTCAACCTCTCACAGTTGGTGCGTCCCGTTACTGACAGGACCCTGAGCAAGGCCGACAAGCAGGACCTGAGGAGATGCCTGCTGGAGGAGGATGAGGAGGCCAAGAGGAAGTGGGCTGCCACAGTGGATCGCTGTACTAAAAGGGTTCTCTTGAGAATCCACCAAAAGTCTGTGAGTCAAAGAGTTGCCATGAAGGTGGCCTTCCAGTTTCTGTGAGGTTGCAGTTGACATTTATTGCTTTGTGCTTTTAACTGAAATTCTGCACTTTCCCTATTTTCCTTACCTTTAGGGACACTTAAGTGCTGTAATTTTTCCATAACAGAAAAGTATACCAGTATGCCATGACGAGCTTGATATAATCCTGTCAGAAAAGGGTTTTGTTGAGTGTACAGTTTCCATGTGCACAGAATAACTCAATGAGAGAAATAAAATATGAGAAAATGCTGTTTTATAACTTTTGCGAGAGCAGAAATTGAGGTTATTGATGAAAAGAAGCTTTAAGAATCTATAAAATTGTTTTCCTGCTGCTTTGGAAATCAGCATTCTTTTAAAGGGATTCTGTGAGATATGTAAAATTTTTAAAGGATTAGAGCATGCTTAGTCAACTGTGCTCTGTTTCTCTCCTGCCGTCTGTTGTTGCCTCATATTGGCCTTCCCCTTCACAGTTTCCATCTCATCTGCTGAAGCAGCCCACCCAGCTCTGTAATTTCCGTCACACTCACAGCTGCAGAAAGTTGGGGAGGTTTACATTATGTAGACGCTGACCTCCTGCTTACTGCTCACCACCACCAAAAGTGTCCCTGGCCACTGCTCCTGCTTTCTAGCATGAGATGAAGGTGGGACCTTCCCTCATGGCAATGTGGAAGAGGGAGCAGGGGGTGGCCAAGAACGGAAATGTTCCTGTACATCAGGAAACTGAGTGAATTAAGTGATCTGAGATTCCAAAGAAACCCAATCTTTGCCACGACTCTTCCTGCCTATTTGACCCAGTTTTGGTAGTTTCCTTCACCATGATGTTGAGTTTCCTGGGAGCTTGCCCTTGGAGCCAGCCAGATCTTCAGAGCTGAGCCAAACAGTCTGTTGGCTTGGCAATTTTGATGAGTTCCCTACTTTAGCAGATGGAAACAGTGGTAGACCCATAATATTAAGCAAAATATTCCGGTGAACAATACAGTAGAAAGAGGATGTTTTTCCTCTTGAATTACAGCTTTATTTTGAGAGGCCCCCGCTTCATTTCTTCAGGTTTGAGTTGTTCAGGATGTGAGAGAGAGACGGAGAGCACTGTGCTCCCCCTGAGTAATGATCAGTCACCGGTGGGAGCTAACCACGGCTTGCCGGTTCACCTTTTTTACTTTTGGTCACAGTAGTAGGAGTCTGTTTCTACCCGATACCATTCTCTCCTTAAGAGAGAATTTCACTATTTCTTCTGCATTTACTGCTTGCCTTGTACCTGGCTTGATACTGTTCCTTTTCATTAACATAGTACTCAGAAGACATCCTTTCTACACAAGGACTTTACAAGCGACAAAAGACACCTGACTCACCCGTATGTGAGTTGAATAGTAGGGGGATATGAGCAGGCAAATGCATATTTATGTGTGCCGGAGATGCCCCATAATTAAAAACACGGTCTAAAGCTGTCATTGTAAATGCGGATGCCAAAGACAGGCTTTTCACTTCTCCTGGTAAGCAGTCTCACTGCAGTAACTGGACTGATTTGTGCTTATTCACAGAGATACAGTCGGAAAAGAAATGGATGACACTTTGTCGTTGTTGTTGTTGAGAAACTCCTCAGTTAACTGCTTCTCCAGCCTTTGGTAAAGGGGATAAGTGGTAGGGATCGACTGCCCTTGCTAGCTTTTCCAACACTGTTCCTCCGAAACTGCAAAACACTGGTAAACTTCTCTTGACCTTGCAAGTAATGCTGTTCCTCCTTCTTAGAAACACGTAGCGCTTGTTTGCTGCAACCTCAGGGAAATTGCAATGCCTGTGTATTCAGTGGAACTGGTCACTCTGTCTTGCCTTACCATTCATTTTTGTCATTTATATTTGTTTCAGTGACCTGGACATGCATGAATTTTTCAATTCGCATCGGTTTTTCTTTTCTCCCAAAATGATAATACTTTTGATTGCATGGCCATTCCATTGAATATCCCTTTCCTCATCCACAGACCTTTTGTTTGGTACAGAATTACTAAGGTCTTTTCTGGAATCGAAAGGTGAAAGTTAAGTGTTGGATGTATGGGGAGGTCCATCATGGAACAAGAAGAATCCTTAACATGGTTCATCTTAATCAGCAGCCATTTTGCTCTCCAAAGTGCCTGCTATGAGAGGAGTTCTGCCTCGTTGGAGAGACGTTTGCTCAGAGCAGTTCCAGATGTCCCCCCTCCGTGGCTGGGATTGCCGTGCGCTGCAGGGTTACTTAGGACGGGCCCTTCGCAGAAGGGCAGCATTACTCATAGCGAGATGTGCTATGCTTTACAAACTGCTCTTATTACTTGTGGTTAGTCTCAAATGCTTTCCAAAAACAATTTCGGAAAGCTCTGCCATAGTCCCGCTGCCTTCTGGAGGGCAAACATTTTGAAGAATTCTCCATGGCAGCAATTTTGTTCATGTGTGTGAGGCCTAAACAAAGCTGGCAGACAGTTCTAAGGGAGTTGTGGTTGGTGCAAAAATTGGCACCGTAGGTGTGCAGCAACAAACCTTAAGAAATTATGTGTATGATGATGAGCAGCGAATGAGGCAAGAATAATGTGTGCTTTAACAGAGCCAATTAATAGAGTTGTTTATTAAGTGGCCCAGTTTATGGAGGACTTGCGTCTTTGTTATACAGTGGTAGTAAAGTGGTAGTTCTCAGATAGTGGATCTTCACCCTTATTGTAATAATTGGAGAATCTTTTGTAGGTTTGATCTGATGCCTAGTTAAGTCGTAAGTATCTTTCAGGTTACTCCATTGTTCAGGCCCTAAAAATGCACAGTTTGCAAATTCCAAATCTTTTGCATCCTGTTTTTCTCATGTCTGACTGTATTGAGAATTTTTATAATAGAGGTCTGTTAATCATTAAACCCATACTTCAGAGTCAAAGCTGAATGAGTAGATTGTAGTTGCCATGTCCACATTTTCCTGCATTGCCTTTTGAGGCTCTTCACAGAGCCACGTAACAGGCAGCTGGTTACATTGCAGAGTTTGTTGTTCAAAGGCAAAACAAACTATTTGACCTGTTGGATTGCCACACAAAAACTCAGAGTTCTCTCTGAGTCGCCCTAAGGGACTGGTCTCTTTTCAAGTGATACCAAAACATTAGCAGAGACTCATCTGCCAAATTTAAATGCCCTGGTGTCAGCTGTGGAAGCACAACTGCACTGAGCTTAGCTGCCCTTTGATTTGAGGAGGAAGCAGCAGCATGGTGCTGATGGTTTTTAATGCAAGATGATCATGGCAAACTGCAGCTGTGCATTCAGCTGAACGGGAGCGTAGCGTTTGAGTTGCTCTGTAGGTGATAGTGCCTCCGAAACCATGACCTGGTTTCTCCCTAAAAGTAGCAGAACTGCCATGTACTGCCAGGGAAGTTGTGAGAAATACCTCAAATACCCCATCTTGGGGCTTCGGGGCTTGTTGCTTGTTTGTTTGTTTTGTTTTGTGCCCCCTTTTTTTTTTTTGTATGGGTATGGGAGGTGCTTTTAAAGCTTCTGGGGGCACAATGCCTGTGAACAGCTGGAGGGGGCCTGTTTTCCCCTGCTCTTGCCAGGGGTTTCCCCTCCAAGGCTGCTAGGGTTGCGGGTGTTTCAGGGGAAGTTAAGCAGATGCAGCTGTTCCCAGAAGGTAGGTTGTGCAGAGCTTTAGAGGATCAGTTCTCCTCCGATTCAGTGCTAGTGTGGGCTAACTGAAGGGAGACGCCAGGGCTGAGGTGGAGTTGCCAGAAACCTGGAAAACTTTATGCATGAGATGAATGAACAATTTCCTCACGCCAAAAGTCTATTTTTTTT